GAAGAAGCCTTGCTCCTCAGGGACGAAATGATCGGTCTTCTGAAGGCAGGTGGCTTCAACCTACGGCAATGTGCCTCCAATTCTCCACAAGTACTCCAAGGCCTACCAGAATCTACTGTCAATCTCCAGCTGCTAGGAGGAGATGATTCCACTCTCAAAACTCTCGGAATCCATTGGGATTCACTGAAAGACAGTATTGTGTATACTGTTAACCCCATCGCCACAAGAGACATTATCACCATGAGGACCATAGCATCAGACGTAGCCCGAATCTTTGATCCTCTTGGACTCTTGAATCCAGTAGTAACTCACGCTAAAATCATTCAGCAAGAACTGTGGAGGCTCAAGTTGAATTGGGATGACTCCACACCAGCAGAAATTCATACAAGATGGAATGAATTTGCCTCACAACTTCCTCTTCTCAATGAAATGCAGTTCCAACGTCAAGTCACAACAAATCTCCAACAACTAGAAGTGCACGGTTTCTGTGATGCCAGCCAGAATGCCTACGGAGCCTGTCTATACCTCAGATCAGTAGAAGACAATGGAAAGGTCCAGGTCAATCTCTACTGTGCCAAATCCAGAATCACACCTCTCAAGGGCACACACACGATTCCTCGCTTAGAACTGTGTGCTATGGAACTGCTCTCCAATCTGTATGATACAGTAAAAAGGTCTACAAGCATCACACCTCAACGAGAAATTTTCTGGTCTGATTCCACGGTCGCTCTTCATTGGATCAAAACTTCTCCTCATCTTCTCCAACGATTCGTAGCCAACAGAGTGGCTCGAATTCAAGAAATCACTAAGAATGTAGACTGGAGGCATGTACGCACACACGATAACCCTGCAGACGCTGTATCTAGAGGTCAACTGGCCTCTGAATTTCTCAAGAATCACCTCTGGCTACATGGACCCCAGTGGCTTCAACTACCTGAAGAGCATTGGCCTCATCTCATCATTGAAAAACCACGAGAATTACCTGAACTCAAAAAGGCCACTTGTCTCCACGTCACTGAAACTGCCAGTAATCCTTTCCTCCGCCAGTATTCATCATTCGAAAAACTCAGAAGAATCACAGCACGATGCCTGAGATGGCGCAGAAGACTCCCACACAAACACCTCACTCTTCAAGAACTTCAAATAGCAGAAACTAGAATTCTCCAGTTAATTCAACAAGAAACCTTCTCTACAGAACTATCACTACTCCAACAAGGGAAACCTCTTCCTCCTAAGAATCGCCTGAAGAACCTCAGCCTAAAACTTGATGAGAATGGACTCATACGAGTTGGTGGACGACTGAGGAAGGCTCGTAATTTCCCTCTGGATG